CCCTGGCGCCACTCCTGCCCGGCCTCCTGTCTGTCCCCGCACACATTGCCCACCCTGTGGGCACAAGGGCCTTCTCCTGTGCTGCTCTCAGTGCCCGGAGAAGCCTCCAGCCCCCGTTTCTTGTCGGATCTCAGCTGCAAACCCCTCGCTGCCGGCCCCTCGGTCCTCCTGCTGTCGTGCATCAGCACACACGGCTCTGCAAGAGCCAGCGCTGCGAGCAGAGAAGTTTCCATTGTCAGCTGGCGGGAGGTGGGGCCCTCCGCCCACGGCTGAGCATCACAGAGGTCGGGGCAGGTGCTGACACTCAGAGCAGAGAGGGCTGCAGCTTCTCGGGCTGACCCAGAAGAAGCCGAGATCAGAGGGAAGAGTCGCTCCTCGTTCCCGGACCCCACGGAGCGGAGCCTGCTGCGGCCCACGGGGCATGGCTAGAGCTGGGGCTTGGGGTCTTGCAGTGCTTGGCGCGCTGAGCCTCTGCCTCTGGGGTGAGTGTTTGGGGAAGCTGGTTCTGCCCCTGCCGTCCTCAGAGACAAAGGACAAAGCTGGGGGATGAATGTTGGGGGTGGGGTAATGCTGGGCAGAGACATTTCGGGAGAGCAAATTGCTGAATAGTTCCAGGGAAAGGTACTGTAAATATCACTTAGATAGATAGATAGATAGATAGATAGATAGAGGGGGTGTATGGGAATAGATAGATAGATAGAGGGGTTCATTGGGACAGATGGATGGGGATAGATAGATAGATGGGGTATATGGGGTGAAATGGAGAGGGGGATGTATGGCGATAGAGAGATAGAGGGCGATGGATAGATAGAAGGGATATATGGGGATATATAGATAGAAAGATAGAGGAGGTGCAGGGGGTTGGATAGATAGAAGATGTGCATAGGGACAGATTGATAGAGGGGGTGCATGGGGATGGATAGATAGATGTGTATGGGGACAGATAGAGAGAAGGGGTATATGGGGAAGGATAGATAGATTAGATGGGGTGTATGGGGATGGATGGATAGACAGTGCGGGTGCATGGGAACAGATACATAGATGGGTATGTATGGAGGTAGATAGCTCAGTCTCTTTGTGGAGGGATGGACTAAATCGGGATTAAGACAATTAGTTGAATTAAATAAAGAAGCTGCTAATCTCATCACAAGGCCTGCTCTGGTCAGCGCTGGCCAGCGTGTGATGTTCTCACCAGAGCTGGGCGAATCATTGATTTTTCAGTGCATCCAGCAAATCAAAAAATCAGGGAAAACACTGGGATCGGTCCTGAAAATGTTCAGGCCTTGTCAGCCAATCGGAAAAGCCCGTTCTTGGCACCCAGAACATTGCCCTGCAGTCATTTCTAGAGGTTCCCCTTCAGCAAACCGCCTGCGCCTGTCTCGTTCGCCCAGGGGCTTGGGCGCTTGTCTGGGATGCGGGACACCCAAGCTTGAACTATGCTGTGGAGCAGCTGCTCAAGGCTATTCTGGGGATGGCGAGGGCTTGATCTCCCTGTCTGAATCTGTTCCGCTTCATGTAACGCCGTGACTAGTCCATGAGCTGAGGACAGAGAACGGCTCTCCAGCCTGGGGGAATTTAAGACCTAGCCAGGGAGGTGAGAGATGGAGGCAGAGAAGAGGTGGGTTGTTTACGGAGCCCTGGGAGCCCGGCCCTGTGGCCCTCACTTAGGCTGCAGCGGGAGTTCTGCAACCAGCCCCGTAACTTCTCTGCGTTTTTTGTAACCTAGCGGCTTGTGCAGCGCAACCCATGTGGTTTGTGTCCCTGGGCGTGCATTACCCCTGCTTTAATCCAGCTTGTTTCGAAGCACGGCTCTGCTCTGGAGTGGGTGCACACGGCCAACTGTGTGGTTTCCCACAGCTCCTCTGGCTGTCTCCATGGGCGCCGGCAGCCCCTGTGTGGGGAGCAAATGGCCGAGAGCATGTGGCGGGCTATGTACGGCGCTGACCTCAGGCAGCTCCCGGGAAGTGGTGTCACGCCCCTCCGGCTCCTAGGGAGAGGGGCAGGCCTGGGGGCTCTGCGCACTGCCCCTGTCTGCAGGTGCCACTTCCGCAGCTCCCATTGGCCAGCCCCGCTGCACTGCTAACCGGACTTTTAACAGTGCTGACTGGAGCCGCTAGTGTCCCTTTTCGACTGGGTGTTCTGCTCCAAAACCGGTCACCTGGCAACCCTAGTTGGGTGCGGGGGAGGGGGCTGCACTGGGCTGGACCTTGGAGGGGAGTTGGGGGGGGGCTGCTCTGAGCTGGGCCCTGCCAGGGACAGGAATTGTGCCCA